CTCTCATAATTGTTGCCTTGATCATGTTAGTCAGTCACTCCATAGTAATTAAGAACAGAAAAAGAGACAATGGATCACCCTGCTTGAGTCCTCTTTAAGTTTGAAAGAAACCTACAGAGACCCATTACTAACTGTAGAAATGCAAAAGCTGATCTAGTTCAACCACTTCTGTTCACATCCCATCATCTCTAACATCTTCAGAAGGTACTTCCAATTAACCGAACTTCTTAGCATGAAAATTGCTAAAAGAGAAGCTCAGGGAAAAGTTGCAAATACTTCAAACTTAGAAAGGACATGTAGTGAAAGCAAGGAAACAGAGAAGTCCTATGTGGTTGACATCAACAATGTGACGAAGGGCGAAAAGACTCCCAGAGGAATATGGTCCTAACGGTGCAAACAAATTGGCTAGACACTTCAAACATTCCATTTATGAGGTTCTTCAAACGTTGCAGACATAAGAACTACTTCTAGAGGTTCCCTAATGAATTTTACTGTAACACCCCAAAAATTTGTAAGTTAAGACTTGAACTATTCTTCATTTACTTGTAGGGTCATATAGGGCGATTCTTAAATTGCCCATATGTGTGAAGGTAAATTCTTTAGTGTGAGAATGATTTTGGATATCAATTAAGGTCACTAGAAACTTCTAGCACAAAGTAGAGTTGAAAGTTTCCTAACTAATTAAGTTTTGATGTAAGATTTCTTTTGGGTCAACTTCAAACGATCATATCTCTTAGAATATAAAGAATTACGTGGCCTATAACCTATCAAATTAAAGTTATTTGAATCTTCTTTCCAATGCCACCAATTTCGCAACAATTCGAGCTTTGAGGAAAAAGTTATGACCATTTTAGTAACTTGATACACTGCAGTGAAGAATTAGCCGACGGGAAAACATTAAAAAGGGTCGTTTTTGTCTTTTTACCTCTAAGAAAACCCTAAACAAATTTTTGACTAATTAAAGACCCAAAACAATAAGATTTCCATCTCTTAATTCATCATTCTCTTCTCTCTCAAACCTTAAGGCAAAATCAAAGTATAAGACTCCATTCAAGATTCTTTCAATCTTTTTCAAGATTTTTCTTCAAGGTAAGTCTTTCTCCAAGAATTCCATTCTTTCCAACTCAAATTCCTCCGTACAATTATGAATCACTAATGAAAATCATAATTCTTGGCCATAGAGATTTCAAGAAAATTATTCAAGAATCTCAAGAAAGGTTTTCTTGATTGTTCTCCTTCAAGCTAGGGTTTCAGGGATTCTATTCAAATTCTTTTTCAAGATTCTTCAAGAACCTTGTTCTTTCAAGTATGTAAGTCTATCATTGTATTGGACTAGTTTGTCCTCATGCCCTACATCTACTTTCAAATCAGTGAAAGAGTAATCTAGGATTCTATCCTTAGATTTGAGTATTCTTGAGATGAGATTTGAGTTCTTGAGTTCCTTATTCTTTTTGAAACTCTATTCCAAATTATTGAATTGTTATATGTTATGCATTAAGATTCTTGAGTTGATTCGTTCATGTCTATACTTCAACATGAACCCTATTAATTGAGTATTCTTGAGATGAGTAGTATCATTGAGTTCTGAGTTCTGAGTTTAAGTTTTCTACATTGCTATTAAGATCCCTGAGTTGAGTCGTTCATGTCCATAATTCCGCATAAACCCTATGAAATGAGTTATAAATCTTGAGAAGTTTTTTAAAGCCAACACTTGAGTTTTAAATTGAGTTTTTGAGAAAGTAAAGATGAGTTTTGAGAAAGAGTTTCTAAAACATGATTAGTATGACAATCGAGTATGTCATCAATATTTAAGCAGTATGATATCTCGATATACCATCAATGTTTATGCAGTATGACTTTTCGGATCATCAATGATCATATTACAATATGATTTTGATATATTTTTGAGAACGAGTTTTCATGTATGAATTGAGTAAGAGTATAAGAGAACTAAGTATTCCCCAAAGGTGTCAGTTTTTACAATGATAAAAGAGAAACTTTGATTTCTAAATGAGTTATGAGTTCAGAAGATATTTCAAGAGCAGTTACCTCTTTTAAGAGGATAGTTTGAACAATTATCTCAAACCAGAGAAAGAGTATGTTTTTAAACATTGAGCATGAATATATATTATTGGGAATAGTATTGAGCATCAATATGGGGATGAATTCATACAACTCACTTTCCTAATAAACCATGTATGCCAACATGAGTACAAGATCATACTTTTTAGATGAATCCTAAGTGCCTTCGGGCAGAGCTTAGTGGATCCACTTAGTTGAGGTGTTCTATACCTCGGCAAGGTGTAGGACAGTTTTGATAGCGTGGGCGAGACGTTGTATCATCACTTAGATCTTAGTGATTGTTGTCGGTTAGAGAATCTCCCTAATAGGGTTAAAAGTGTATTTTTATTATATCACTTATTATGTCGAGGCTCAGAGATGAGTAAGTGTTTTTGTTAAGTTTTAAATGATTTCATTCCTTTAACCCTTTACATTCAGTTGAGTTTATGCTTTATCTATTACAGTTATATCAGTTCAGTTATTTGTTATTCAGCTATATTACATACTCGTACATATAATGTACTGATGTCATTCGACCTGCATCAGATACAGGTTCTTAGAATCCTCAACAAGAGTCCGTTGAGATCACTTCATCTGCTCGTCAGCTTTTGAGTAAGACCTCTTTGCTTTTGGAGGACTCTATTTTTATGAGTTGTTAGTAGTAGTTCCCTTGAGGAGTCGCGTGTCTTGTCCCGACACTCATCTTTGTATAGTAGAGGCTTCATAGATAGACAGTTTTGGAGAGTCTTTCAGTTTCAGATATTTTATTTAAAATTATGTTTCATACTCAGTATATTCAGCGAAATTTTGAGATTCAATAAACTGTTTTAAATGTTTCTTTCAATTTGATGCTTATGTATGCTTGAGTTAGTCTTTCGCTTGTAGTTAGCCAGGATGAGTGCTCGCTTGAGGGCCAGCAATGGTTCTCAAGTGCCGGCCACATTCAAGCTATAGGCTCGGGTCGTGACATTCACGATTACACCACTTGGAGTAGCACACATGCCTTAACATTCTATTTTTGCTTTTTGGAACCATGGTGTTTCCCAGGATAAGAAAAATGAAATTGATTCTAGAGTTGTCATGACTACACATGCCATTTTCCATGACATTGGTGAGCCAAATCAGGAGAAGAAGTATTTCAATATAGTTTTGGTCATTCTAGCCGATATCAATCAGTTCTTAAGTCGATGCAAGAATAGACACCGATTTTTCCAAGGATGTAACCTCTTACTTCAATGGTGGATGTCCAAACATCTAACTAGGAGAGGAGAAAAGGGTAAACAAAATTTGGGAAAACAGGACAGGCAAGATAGTATAACTTCCCATGAATCATGTTTAGTCTTCGAAGTTTCAGAACTAAGGAACTTTTCCCTAAGCTTCTCTTTCAACGTCTGTCATGATTCTAGGAAGTTCCAAGGGCTGCAGGATCCAACAACCAGTGGGAGCATTTGGAGCTTCTTGGCCTTGAGCAAATATGAAGAGACCTGATAAGAAAGTGAAACATCTCTTCCCTTGGATTCCATGAGTGTTATCTAACAACCTATATTGACATTTATAAATATTTCTTATACTTTTTCATAGTTTTTATCTTTTAACATATTATTTCACGTGTGACTTAGAATTTTGAATGATCCTATAAAAGTCATAGTCCGTGTATATTAGTAACTCTAATAGTCTAGAAAGTAGTTCTCGTGCATATCCTGAAGCCAATTATGACCTTTAAAGATTAAAAGAAGGTTTTTTTTTTTGGTTTCCCACTCAGTGTCCGGAGCCCGCAATGGATCTTCCACTAAATCTAGATCGCACATTGCAGGGCCCATTCAGGATTGACGGAGCAACACGATTTTCTCCATACCCAGGGTTTGAACCCGAGACTTCTGGTTAAGGGTTGAGCAAAAATTAAGTTGTAATTGTTTTAACGAGATGTGATTTTAATACATTGCATGTTAATTATGTTATTGCAAAAAAAAAAATTATTCTATAGATGAAATTTGTCATATTTGTGGAATGGAGCCTGAAACCTTAGAGCACATTTTTCATTTGTATGTCATGTAAAAGATGACCCCGACACTTGGGCCGAATTTGCATGATATCTTATATTTTGTTGCTTGATGAAAAAAATTAGTTTTGGAAGTTTAGTTTTTATTTCTGATGTAACTGGCAGTACATATCTATTTTATGGATGATGTGAAAGGTAGAACAACAACAACATATCCCGTGTAAGCCCACAAGTGTGGATGTGAAAGGCTAGTAATAAATGTATTTTTAAATTCAATTATATGGAGTGAAGGTGATGTATTATCCAAAGCCTTGTTTGATTTGACGAATTTATAACTAGGTGAATAATGTTAAATGCTATTCGAGATGTTGTTAACGTTAATTTACTTTTTTTTCTCCAGAGTTGTGGTGCTTTGTGTTGGTACAGATGGTAGCCTTGAAGACTAATGGTGATATGATTCATGTCTGTGGTAGTCCAATTCATTTTGTTGGAGAAGTCATAATAGCTTGAGTGTTGTCAATAACAAAAACAATTCAAATGGTTGCTAAGTATGATTGGAAAAATATAAGTATTTTGTTATATTCGTCAACAATGATTCAAATTGCCAGTTGAGACTAAGTTGAGGTGTTTAGATGTGCACTCTCAAAGTTGGAGTGCTTACTTGCCAACTGAAGCCAAGTTTGAGTGTTTGTTTATATATTATGCCTTTGATTAATGCATATTATGTTTCTCGGTAAAAAAAGGTGATTTTGTTAATTGCTTTGAATAATTTATATACAATCTTGAGACAATTTTTTAAAAATTGTGCATTGTATTGGGGTGCCACGATTTACAACATAGAGATTGTTGGAATCCTACTAATATTGACTCATGATATACAATGTGCCTGTACATGGACAAATAAAAGGAATAGGCCGCGTATCGGACAAATAAAAAAAATAAAAAGGTCGTGTTTTGGACAGTGCAACTGAAAGCCCTGCTACTTGATTGAAAGTGAGAAACGGTGATTACAATTCTCCTATTTAAGGGTTTTGATTGCCCTCACCCTGGTGTTTCCTCTGTTCCAGAAGGTACTAATTCTTTCTTCTCCGTTGTTTTCGATTTCTAGTACTGCATTTTTTCTTTGATTTTTAGCTGCTCTCAATCGTTAAAACCCATGAATTGCAAAAATGGGGGTATGTCGAAACATGCTAATAGCTGATTTGAGTGATGAGCTACCTTAAAAATGGAAGGATCATGGTTGCATTAATACCTTGATCGACAACATTTGTTGTTTCTGCTTTGATTGTTAGAATTACTAGACCCCATAACATGAATGTAGGCGATATAAGAGAGGCGCAACCCTAGTAATTGAACGGTCATGGTTATGTTACCTATCTGGGCAAAACTTCATTAATTGTTACTCCCTTGTTCAAATCCCACTGGAGACAAAAAACACTAGGTAATTCTTCCCCTTTGTCCTAGCCGACAAGAGTTACCTCTACTTGTTGCTGGTGGGAGGTGGCAGGTAACCCGTGGAATTAGTCGAGGTGCGCGAAAGCTGGCCCAAACACCACGTTCTTTAAAAAAAATTATTATTTCCCTCAGTTCAATTTGTTTGTCCTAATTTTCTTTATAGTCCATTTCAAAATGAATGTCCTACTTTCCTTTTTTAGCACATATCAAGATTCAAAAGTATTTTTTACTTTTTTGAACTCCGTGCAAGTCAAAATAAGACAAACAAATTGAAACAGAGGTAGTAGTACTTATCTTTATCTTTTTTGAGCTTTACACATATCAAGATTTAGTCTATTATCTGCTTGGAATTTTGATCCACCACCCCCTCTTTGTTAGCTGCTTCTGCATTCACAAGTTCAATTTGTTGTTTAATGTTGTGTGTATTATAACGTTCCGTTTGCACTTACCACACTAGATTACGTGGGTCTATTCTTGAAAATACAAAGGTAGTCGAAAGAAGCAGCTAAAGGGAGATTGACCATCAAGTTGCCTAGATAGGAGTTGCATCATTTATTTTTGACATCTTAATATGCCTTGGTCCACCATTTCATCTATTGTTTTTATTGGTTTTTTTTTTTTCTAAAGTTAAACTTCTAGTTGATATTTTCATGAGTTTCATATGCTATGTAGGATTTAAGAGTTGTTCGGGAAGCATACTTTGTATACGGAGGAGATGGAACGGGCGAATGAAGCATGTGATAAGTGCAAGAAGGACTGCCTGTTGATTCATAGAAAGAGGGTTCCTTCTTTCTGCAAAACAATGACTGACAAAAGTTGCTTACAAGTTCTGGTAAAGTGTGATTCTTGTGTGCACTTAATTTCGCGACTTAGTTTAAAGTACTTGTTTTAAATATATAGTTGGCTTTGATCACCATATGTGCAATTAGTTGTTCTTGTAGTCAATTGGCTACTTGTTGATGACATCGTTTTGCTTGACATTTTGAAGACTAACCTTTAATTTTTACTCTAGTTTTTTTTTTCCTCATCAATGTACTGAAAATTCGTGAAATATTCAAAGAACCAGTTACATTTCGGGATGTCAACTTTTGAGCATACCCTCTAGGTTCATGATTGTACTTCCAAGACATCTTGAGGGACTCAATCCTAAGTCTTTACCAAGGAAAGATACAACACCATAGCTAACTAGCAGGTTTAAAGAAAAAACTCTCTTTTTTCTCCATAGAAAACCTTTCAAACACTCCTAAAAAAAGTATAGTATCATATCACCGTATTTAAAGCAGCCCCACACACAGAAGACTGTTATAGTATTAAAACTCATCCTTGTTTTTTCAGATCGTAAAATTAGATTATTACTTTAGTCCAAGAGGATTAGCAGATTCCTGTGAACTCAGAAAGTCAAAGTTCAAACTTCAAGAATATCTCTTAGGATCTAAACTTGGAATGAGGAGATAATAAGCTCCAAAAATTTTAAACTTTGACATAGTTACAAAACTTACTGGTCTATTAAAACCATTAAACACCAGAAAAGAAGTTAACTTATTTTGATGAAAACATGGTCTTGCTCATGTTCAGAACTTTCTGACAAAATTTCATTTGAGATAAGATTCAATTTGAACCTTTCCCATCTGAAATTAACTGATTAATAAAGTACAACTCGTAAGCGATAAATTTCAAGCGAATGCTCTTCTGAAAGTGAGACTGGTATTCACTTGATGTAAAATTTAAGACGATAATGAATCAGTGATCCAAACTTTGACAATCAAATTGAAGAAGAACTTGATCAGGAAGCATGACATATGTAATGATTTTGAGAGAAGATGCCCCATGAGGTGCAGGATTTGTACCTACTAAGGAGGCACGGTCAAAGTGGTAATTATGTGAGCTGTAAGTTTTCCACATTAAAATTTTTGAGACAAAGCAAAATATGTACAAACTCAAGGATCCTTAACATCACAAGTGTTTTCCTGAAATTTCTAGAGAGAAGACGTGAATGCACAAGGTGTAGGATCTTACCAATTAAAGGATGGATTGCTGAAGTAATAATATTGTGACCTATAATTTCTCAACATCAATATACCCAATGTTGTCTGGGGGAACTGGTCTAGGCGCCTGCCCTTATGCTTGGTTATACCTGGGTTTGAATCCTCACACCTAGACACTACGTTTTTTAGTTGAACAAATTTTATGGTTACAATGTCCTAAGCAAACAAAAATCTTAAAAGTTGTTGCAGGCTGGATTTGAATCCAAACCTTTTAGTGAAATTAATTGCCCTTCACCTATAGAACCTAGGGCCTTTTTATTAAACTGGGTGTCACTTTAGTTTATTTCTACGATTTCTTCTATACATACACTACACACATTTACACACTGTTCTGATCTAGGTGTGTTGTTACCGTTGCACCCCCTCCCTCCTTAATAGATCCGTTGGACTTGCAGGCCAAACTTTTTAGCTAGTAATGACATGACAATGTTAAAATAGTGGTGCCCTGCCAACTTATGTTATGTCTCTATTCCCCCTACCTGCTAAAGTGGAGGAGAAATTGGATATATTGAGGAGGACTTTCCTCTGGTTGGGTAACTAGGAAGGAAAGGGTATTCATCTGGTCAAATGGCAAGCTGTGCAACTCAGTAAGAAATCTGGTGGGTTGGGTGTCAAGAATTTAGGGCTGCAAAATATATCTCTATTATCAAAATGGTTGTGGAGGTTTGGTAAAGAGGATCATTCTCTTTGGAAGGATGTTATCATTAGCAAATATGGACAGACTGAGCAATGGACAACCAATACTGTGATTAGCACATATGGGGTCTCAGTTTGGAGGACTATCAGAAATTTGTGGCCTAAATTGTCCAGGAGCATAGGTTACAAGGTGGGTGAAGGGACTAGAATTCTATTCTGGAAAGACAAATGGATCGGACAGAACTCACTCATGGAGGATTTTCCAGATTTATTTTCTTTCTGTGGCAACCCTGAAGCATCTATTGCTGAGACCTGGACTAACCAAGGATGGAATATCATCTTTAGGAGGCTTCTAAATGACTGGGAGGTTGAGAGAGTGGCCAGCTTACTGCAAAGATTGAATGATTTCTCTGGTTTAAATACCAGCCCTGATACAATCAGATGGAAACATGATAGGGATGGAAAATTTTCAGTTGGAAGATTGTACAGAAGAAATTTATCCTCACAACCTGGGAACATCCCTGGACCTTGGAAACAAATATGGAAATCTAATATTCCTACCAAGATCAAGTGTTTCACATAGACGGTATGTAGAAGAGCGTGTCTGACTCAGGAGAAACTGAAAAAGATAGGTTTTGAGATTGTCTCAAGATGCTTCTTTTGCAAGGAAAAGGAGGAAACAAATAGTCATTTGTTTCTTCATTGTAGAGTGACTTCTCAGGTGTGGCATATGTTTCTTAATATTCTCCAAAAACCATGTGTGATGCCCGAGCATACGGCAGATCTTCTAACCTGCTAGATGAGGAGAGGTGGGAGTAAAAAACAGAAAAAATGGTGGAGCATGGTTCCTTCTTGCATATGGTGGTCAATCTGGAAGGAAAGAAAAATAATAGATGTTTTGAGAATATTGCTAATTCAATGCAGAAAGTAAAAGAAAATTGCATTAATACTTTATATCTTTGGTGTAAAGGAGAGGGTATAGATGAGGTAGAACAGCTAGTAGACTTCTTAGGCTCTCTGTAATTATGATTACTTGCACTGTAATCTTTTTGATGGTTGACAGCATACCCACATTTAAGAGGCTCATGGTTCCAAATCCTTAGAGATAAACACAACTATTTAAGAGGACGCTAAATAAATGCCACTAGTAAAATAATTCAGACACCTAGCATTTTTCCATTTTGGGACCGCAATATATTCATCCTATTGCACTTTTCGCACCCCATGCTTTGCTCTTTTACAATTCACTCCCTACTTCTGCCCATTATAGAGGCAATCGGGAAACCTTGCAGAATGCAAATGTAACCAAGGAGTAGTGAGCTAATCCAATCATTCATATATTGATTGGATACATAAGTAAGCTTGATTACTTTTTCAGTTATGGTAGAGATGGGTGTTTTATCTACTGAGTGCAATTCAATCTGTCTGATCTTCCTTTCAACCATCTGCCCGTTTGTGTATAAAATTCAAGAAATTTTCAACCACTTGAATTTCCTAATATAAGTTACCTTTCAGGTATGTATCTATGCACTTGATAATGATCATGATATATGTTGGTCAATTTTTGCAGTAGAGACCAAATGACCTGTTTAAGTTTTAGAACTCATGCCAAACACCTATGAGTTCTGAAACATCTTGCTTTCAAAAGATTGCCTGCTCTAAAAAAAAAGATCTTGGAAAAGATTCTTCAATATTTCTCATGAGCTATTGCTTCTACCATATCTATGAAGTATCTCCTTAACTCCCCGAAGGAAAAACATGTGTCATATTACTTTAAAATCACTCTGCTTGAAGGATTTAAAAGTCCACTTTCCTGTTTTCAAAGAGCTTAATACAAAAATGAAATGCTATATGCTCATAAATTTTAGAAAGAAAAAAACTGCTTATGAGCAACTTTAGCATTCGGACCTACCATAGGTGTTTCCATTGACTTTCTTCTTCTCAGACAGTCCTTGCACTTTGCAGAGCATTTAGTCAAACCTTTTCATTCACTCATTATATGATTCTGTATCTTCTTTTAGTTACTTGAAATCATGTAAATCTATTAAGGTCAACATTATTTCTGGAATATCATTCAGATCTTACTTGAGTAACTGTCAAATTTTTAGTGTGAAGATGATAAATCATTTAATGAACTTTAAAGATTCTTAAAGGAAAATACTTGACAGTGGTATTGAGGCATTTGCATATTTGTGAATCTTAATTTGTAGTCTCTGGCAATTTTCATGCTTTATTTTCTATAGAAAATATCTAGCATAAATGCATCAGTTACTTTAACCTTCCCTTTGCCATATCATGTATTTTATGTTTGATCAAATGAAAGGGATGCATTGCTATCAAGATTGCTTTGGCATTAGTATTATAAATAATTGTACCATCCAGAACTCAAAAAAATTCCAAGGATATGGTCATAAACCTGTTTCTTTTATTTAGCATTTGGTATCGATATGTGGTATTTCTTAGTTTTAATTTCTGCAATTTCTTTTCAGATTTTACCGCCAAAGTTTGCTCAATCAGTTTCACACCTGGCTGATCAGGTAACGCATGTAGAGGATTCAAGTGGATTGCGATGGAGGGTAACAGTGTGTTACTATCAGGGTTTGTTAGCTATCCAACAGGGGTGGCCAAAATTTGCATCACAGCATCGTCTGGTTGTCGGAGACCTCTTGGTTTTCCAGTATGCTCCAGGTCAGCACTTCACTGTTCAAATATTTGATACGAATGGTTGTGAAAAGATCATTTTCTGCTGTGACACTGGCAAGGGTAAAAAAAGAGCAACAACCTACGTGGAAGAAACCACCCAGGTTAGAGATGCTCAATATGATCACGAAGACGGCAGGTTGTGCTTGCATCAGTCACGTTTTGAAATGCCAGCAAGCAAACCTCTTGCAGAAGTACTGTTGCCACTGTGTGAGGCTGGAATCAAGGCAACTGGTATGGTTAGTAGACCAGCAGAGGATATTCCACTGCTGGGTCCAAAAGATAAAAAATCCAAAAAAGCATCTCAATTTGGTAAGCTTTCTGTTCACAATAAATTGTTAGGATTCTTTTGTTTTTTGTTGTTTTGTCTTGAATATACATATTAGGGCTATGTAGTTGAAGCAGTGATGACTCAGCTGAAGCTTGGTTTTGCTGATGCTACCTGGCCTAAATTTAGTCTCAGGTGTTTAGATTCTGTAAAGCTCAATCTTGTAGACTCGTGAATACAGTGAAGCCTTTTGTTCTTTTTGTTGATTGATTGTATACCAAATTGCATTACTTTCCTTAGTGTATGTGTTGGAGGACCTTAAATTTTGTTCTTCAATCATCAGCTTCAAAAACTATTTTCCTCTCTCTTCCCAGTACTCATCAGTATAACCCTTCTTTGGTTTTAATCTCTTTTTCCTATCCATTTAATTTCTCATATTTTTCTCAAGTTCCCTCTGGTGAAAATGTCGTTCTACCTTCCTTATTTGACTCAAAGATTCGGGTTCCACACTACGTTCAGCAGTATCTATTTCAGAATTAATTGCTTCCCTCAAAGCAACTGGGGGTATTTTGTGATTCTAATTATTATTGAAGTTGTAAATTGTTTTTCTTGATCATTGGGGAAATGATTAAGAATATTGTGTACAATATCCTTAATGATGATGTCATAGCAATCTGGAATTCCTCAAGAAACTTGCCTTACACACGGAGCTCTTATATAATGACATCCCATTTCATTGTATGTTTCTCTTTACTTGGTAACAGAGTCTCCATGATCTTGGTTGAGACTTCAGTTATTCCACCAACCAGAGTCTCACACTGTCAATTCTGCCAAGTTTTCTTTCTTTTCAGTTTTACTATTTTGACCTCTTTTTGGTGACGTTCCTGCTGCACAACTCCTCTTCCTAATGACTGTTTCAGTAGCATCAGTTTTTCTTTTGTTATCATTCAAGAGGCACTGTATTTCTTCTGGATAATTTTTCTAACAGCACCTAACTACTTTTTAGTCCATTCCAGTCGGCTCCACATCTATTCAGTCTATTCTTGTAACAACTTTTACTGTCATTAGTCCAACAACTTTTTTGGTTACCCTAACAAGTCGATGATGTTCCATAGATTTTCATCCCAGAACCTCTTTTGGTGTAAGAAGCACTTGCTTTTTGCTGTGCAATCACGGATGATTTTCATGGGGAAAGACTTTCCTTGAACCACCCTTTTCTTTTGCCGATTTTGTTCGCTATTCTAATGACTTTTGAGCTATGTTGCTCGGATTCTTCAAAAATACTGTCGTCTGCATGCTGGATCCTCCAAAAATACTGCATTTTTTAAGGATCCGACCCAGGTACGGTAACATTTTAGGAGAATCTGAGAAACATAGCTTTTGAGTGTATCTTGTATCTTGTTTTCAAACTAAGCTGTAATCAAACCCACTTTGAGTTTGGCTGGTGGTGTTGAAAGTCAAAAGAATCATAAGAATATTGTGTAGAATATTCTTAATGATTATGTCCCAAGATTTGAATCTCAAGAATTATGAAACTTCTCTTATTTTGTGTAATTCAAAAATGTAGAGGTCTTTTGAATGTTGTTAACAACCATCTGTAAATCTTCTCCAATTTCAAATTATCATTAAAATTCATCTGAGTACTGGATTTCTTTTTTATTTTGGAAATATCAAGACTTATTATTCTATTTGAATTTTTTTTATTTTACTACTCAAGAGTTCCCAATATATGATCTAACTTGTAATTTGATTCCTACTTGATTGATTGTACTAATACTAATCATGTCCTCCGTATAGGACATTGGCCTTTGAATGGCCCCTACTCCTGCCATCTGCGGCTTCACCTCTCCCCCTCACCAGCTTACATCCACCTTCTTTCAGCCCCTTGTGACCATCTTGTTGCGCTTCCAAAATAGAAGCAAAACCTTTTCCCTATATAGAATCCAATCACATATCCAAAGTGCATCTTTGTGTCACCCTTTTTGGCCTGGATTGTAGGAGAAGATGCTATAGGTAAAAAGTGGGAGTCTTTAAGCTAAGGTACGATTGTGTTGATACTAAGGTGGTTTCTAAAAGTTTCACTTTCTCTTGTTGCTTTTCTCTTTTGGAGAAGAAAGGGGTGTTTTCTTCATTAGCACCCCTGATCATAGTCACCGAGGCTTTGCATGAGCTTAGAATCAATTCAATACTGGTTCCGATGCGGTAGGGATAAGTTTAAGACCAGTACCAAGAGGAAGCAATTGTTGCTGGGTATAAAAAGAGAATCACAATTTTAGTCATTCATTTGGAAGATAGATGTAACTTACTCCCCTCTAAACAATCATGCTCTCCTTTCCTTGCTAGGTTGCTTAAATTGCAAAAGTAGGAATTAAGAGTTTTTGATATAGGAGAAGATGATATAGGTAAAAAGTGGGAGTCTTTAAGCTAAGGCACGATTGTGTTGATACTAAGGTGGTTTCTAAAAGTTTATCTTTCTCTTGTTGCTATTCTCTTTGGAGAAGAAAGGGGTGTTTTCTTCATTAGCACCCCTGATCATAGTCACCGAGGCTTTGCATGAGCTTAGAATCAATTCAATACTGGTTCCGATGCGGTAGGGATAAGTTTAAGACCAGTACCAAGAGGAAGCAATTGCTGCTGGTATAAAAAGAGAATCACAATTTTAGTCATTCATTTGGAAGATAGATGTAACTTACTCCCCTCTAAACAATCATGCTCTCCTTTCCTTGCTAGGTTGCTTAAATTGCAAAGTAGGAATTAAGAGTTTTTGACATGAAATCACTTGTCTTAATTTAGGCCTGATCAAACTTCACTAGCTTGAGCTTCACTTGATCGGCTAGTAGGCATCCTTATCTTGTAAACTTATTTAATCTGGCCATTTGCATGTTGGTGTTGTGCTTTGAACTGCCTTTGAGCATCTTCTTGCTGTTTTTTTCCTTATGTACAAGATTCAGGAGAGGAGGAAGCAAATGGTAATGAAAAAGTCATCAAAAGTAAGCCTGCTGGTTTAGGAGACACACCATCCTTTCCTGCAATCAACTATTCATGTTTGGTGTCCGTCAATGGTCGAGATTTTCTGGTAACACCTTGTTTAAATATCATTCCTTCTGTCATTTTTGTGGATTGCTATATTCTTACTATTTCATGCGTTCTTTATAGAATCGGGCAACTTGAAAGAAAAAATAAGAAAATAATGTGGAATAAAAAAATACGAAGATTAAAGACTAGAAAAATAAGATAGGCGAAATTCAAGAAATAAATCCCCAAATCTCAAAAGTGATTATATAAGAACCCTAATTGGTTGTAATAAACCTAATTAATGGATTACGGCTAATCAAATTTAATCGCAGATTCAAATGAAGAACTTAGATGAATCTGATCTAGAACCCTAACTGAATAATTACAACAACAGCATGCCCGGTGTAATCCCACAAGTGGGGTTTGGGGGAGGGGAGGATGTATGCAGACCTCACCCACTACCTTTGTAGGGTAGAGAGGTTGTTTTCGATAGAGCCTCAACTTAAAAGAAATGTTATTGAAGCTGGATTGTGAGAATAATAATAACAAAAACATACGCAGTGTAATCCCACAAGTGGGGTCTGGGGAGGGTAGTGTATGCAACGTTACCCCTACCTTATGAAGGTAAAAGGATTGCAAGAACATTATGATAACAAAATAGAAAGATATAAAGCAAATGAGGCAAAAATAGTACTACAAATTGAATAATAAGAGACTTACACGACTACTAAATAACCCCTACCTCTTCCACATAAAATATGACAACACTCGGTTACCTACTAGCCTTCTACCCTAATCATTGATCTTTGTTACCACTTCTCACCAACCTCTCACACCTCTTTACTAGCACATCCGCACGTTATAAGATAAATCTCAAGTAGTGAAAAGAAAAGAATCTTGATAATACTAGTGTGTCAAAAAAACAAAAAGGTTTCCCCTATATATAGGGGCAAATCGTGCACCCCTCTCCTAGACATTATGGTATTCAAAATCAATTTGTATGGAAATAATTTGTAAAATCTAACTAGGAAACTTTAAACTAGAAAAATATGTAAATTAAAGTCACACTTCTTCCAAAACTACCTAACAAAATAAGGAAAGAAGTGACAATTCTTGGATTAAAAAACACACGTCAATTCCAGCTCCTTTGGGTGTGAATTTCTAGCCCATTTGGGCATGTAATTCACCCCCACTTGGGCTTGCTTTTCAGCTCTTTTCAGGCTACCTGTTGGCCCCAATATTCCTCCTCTCGAGCTTGGACTTGAACCATGAAATATGTGCAGTGCTTTGCCCACTCTTAGTCACAATTCTTGGGTTCTGGCGCTCTGCTTCCACTATGAGCATCTTCTTGATTTTATATTGAAGTCAAGCAAACATTGTCTTGCATCTCCTTCACTTTTATAATTTCATTTAGTCCCTTAATGGAGGAATGCCACTATGAATGCTATCAGTTTTCTGTGAATATTTATCAATACTGGCATGTACACTGCTTGAGTTTATATGAGTCTTGAGTTTACCTCTGAAGATGCATGCATTTTAACATTCTTTTCATCAAACTTTTGTGTTTAATAAGATGTTACAGAGGGAATAATGTCTTTCTCAGGACATCTTTGGGCTTAAACACTATAAAATGTTACTGAAAATTCATGAGATTGAAGTGAAGTACTGATTACTTTGTAACTAGGATGCTGAAAAGAAACATACATGCACAATAAAAATGCTGATTGCAAGCTCATACACCAGATTTTGGTAAAAACTTGTCGTTTTTTGAGGCTCTAACTTGTTTAAAATAAGCATCTCGAAATCAGATTGGACACACAATAACTTAGATCAAATGTTAATATCTTTCGAGTTTAGCGCCTGCGAGACCGGACATGCCAATGATGGCACTGTTTCTTTAAATCTTAAGTTAATGAGTATCTTTTCTTGTTGCGGATGTATTTTCTCGAAATAGATGAATCAATTGGTTAGTAAGTCCTTGTGTGTGTAGACATTATGTTAAGTTTCTCTATGCAAATATGAGATTGTTCCATTGGTTTTTCATCTAAAGAGGAAGATGTCATATAAGAGCACTAATTCTTTTGTGAAGTAAGACCTACATTTACATTTTTTTTTAGAGTTGTAGCAGTGTTCTTAAAGGCGAGCGCCTCTCGCCTTTGGCGACAAGGCGAGGCGAGGCGAGGGGTTTGCGCCTATTTCAGGCAAGGCGTGGCGAGATCAAAAAGGCGAGCCAAGGCGAGGGGTGACGTGGAATTGGCGATGCAATAGGCGTCGCCTTTTTCTTCTTTTTTTTTAGAAGTCTGAATTTTAATAATTAAAAAGCCAAATAATCAAATTAGGGTTTTTTTTGGGTATTTTTTCAAACTTATGACGCGACTGCTGCTCCTCATTTCGCGACCGGAGACTTGAAATCAATCCCTCGACTGGAATTAGAGTTCGCGACTGCTGCTGCTGCGATTGGAAACTTGAAGTCGACTGTCGCGACTGCTGCTGCTGCGAGTTCGCGTCTGCTGCTGCTGCTCAGCTTGAAAAAGTACAGAGAAGAAGAAGAGGAGGAGTTTTTTCTTGAAAAGTACAGTAAAGTACAGAGAAGAAGAGAGAAGAAGAAGAGGAGGAGTTTTTTCTTGAAAAGTAAAGGAAGTACAGCTTTTTTAGTATCTTTTTTCAAAAAGTAGAGTCTTTTCAACTTTTCTTGAAAAAGAAAACTAGAGACAAAGAGTTTCTCTAGATAAGTGTGTCCTTTTTTATTTATAAAATAAATTATACTTTTAATATTTATTATATTTTCTCTCTTCTTTAACAATTATACTCTTATTTTGTATGTAATTATATCAAAATATGCAATTCATTATTATATATATTTCATAAATATTTTTAGTAATATTTTATTATATATATATATATATCACTTATTTGGTATTAATTGGCGCCTCGATTCAAAAAGGCGAGCGCCTCGCCGCTCGCCTCGCCGCGTGGCGAGGCAGGCCCTTGTCGCCTTTTGTCGCCTCTCGCCGTCCAAAACACTGAGTTGTAGTCCTTTCATCATCTGAGCATCATGTGAAGCAGCAGTTACATTACATTGTTGTTATTGAGTTCCATTTTTGGAATCACCGAACCACCCTGGTCGTTCTTTTCTAGTGTGATTTCATGCATATTGCTTAGTCTTTGGCGAATCTAGTCTGCTCTACGTTGCAACTAGTTGCTTCTACTTGGCTGAGATTCTCTTTGTTTTCCAGTTTGTGTATCCTTTTTTTCTCTCATTGAATCTAGATCTCCTTTATGCCTGTGCAGGAATTACCAGAATCCTGGCGAGATTTGTTGAAAAGGCCAATGCGAGAAAGGTGGATTATTTTTCTCCGAGGACCAGATAAAAGAATCTGGCCTACCTATTATACTAGTCGCTTGCCTCCCTATTATTCTAGCAGACCAAGTGTTGATGTTTTGACTCGTGGATGGAAGGACGTTGCTGCAGCTTATGGCATGAACGCCAAAGATGATTGTCTTTTTCAACTTGCAGATCAGCAGAACCGTATATTTGATATACGCAAAATCTGAAAGTGCTGAAGTAAGATTCCAAATGAACTACTTGGAGTCAATTACCTTAACGTCGTTATAAGGGAAATGAAAAGGAACCTATGTCAGTTTCTCATTAATAGTTTTGAACAACATTTAAGCGTTGCTTTGTTGGGTCATATATTTTGTACTGTCATTTTGAAGTTGTACTCAGTATTTTGAGACTAATTCCTTTGAGTCTAGTTACATGTTTGTTTAACTTTGTTTTCTGAGATCCAATTGCAAAGAACCATGAATTGCTCGTTAGGATTTGTGTTTTTTTTTCTTCTATAACTCATATGCATGGAGACTCTATCCTATAAAGTGAAATAACATAAATGATAAGAAAAAGCAACATTATATTTATATCGAAATACCACAGTTCAAAAATGCACAAGCGCCCTTGAAAGGTCCTTCTATAACACCTTCCCTATCACGGTGGCTTGTGCATCTACTGTCACTACATGAAATTTTTTTTAAAAAAAACTACGTCCAACCCAAACGAAGAACTAGCATCGTTGAACGATGAAAATATCAAACTACTTCAATACTCTGATCTGCAGTAGCTGACACCTGGTTTTGCTCTTTCACCACCATTTTTTTCATTCTCATCAACCACTTCACCCAACTCACCATGTTGTCATACAAACTTAGAGCAATATATACACCAATTCCACCAATAATACCATTGGCAATTGAGTATGTCAAAGGCATTAACACCATAGTAACAAATGCAGGCACTGCATGCTTAATATTATTCCAATCAATATCCTTAACAACTTTCATCATCAACACCCCAACTATAACCAAAGATGGACCTATAGCCCATGGTGGCACACTGGCAATCAAAGGTGTGAAGAACAAAGACAAGAGGAAATAAAACCCAACGACGATCGCCGTTATTCCTGTCCTTCCACCTTCTCTGATCCCAGCAGATGATTCTACAAATGTAGCTACAGGTGAAACTCCTAGAGTTGATGCAACTATAGTTGATCCTGCATCAACCATATACGCGGTATATTCACCTTCAAATTCTCCATCTTCATTCACAAATCCCCCAATTTCAGCCATTGTATACAATGTACCTGTTGAAGCTAACACATCTATGTATAACAATGTTATTAAAGCTATCCACACTTCACCATTGTTGAAATGCGTAAAATCTAGAGCTCCAGCTGTAGACTCAATTTTATGAAAATCCACCACTTTTTTGAAATACTCATAGCTTGAATTACCAGATGGAGTATTAGGAAAAACCGTAACAGCAGTATTCCTAATCCATGAAATTAACGTCACAAAGAGAATACCGTATATCATACTCCCTTTAATCTCCTTCATTAATCCATAACACATTATTATAAACCCAACTGAACCTAACCAGAAAGTTGCACTCTGCATCTTCCCGCCGGTGCATTCTCCGGTCACCGGATTTGTACTGGTGCAAGCAGTAAGAGTGATCAAGGTAGATGAATCTGGGCCAACTAAGCCCACACCTTGATGGGCTTGTAAGCCCACAAATGCAATAAAAAGCCCAATCCCAGCCGCACAAGCTAACCTAACGGGCTGAGGAATAAACCGAGCTATCCTCCCACGAAGCCCAAATACAGCTATTGCTAAAAACGCACAGCCTTCAACTAAGAAAATTGCCATAACAGTCTGATATGACATTTTTCCAGACCCATGAAAGCCCACTAAATTATAAGCTAAATAAGCATTTGGGCCCATACCTGGAGCTAAGCCCAAAGGAAGATTCGCCAATAAGCCCATAGCAAATGACCCAATCATAGAAGCTAAAGCAGTAGCCACAATAAGATCACTTCTCATTTTCGCAACACACTTTTCGTAACCTTCGTTATTGAGCACGCAATCTGGAGTTGCATGCGTTTGGTTCGCCGGAAAAGTGCAGTCGGTGACGGAGCAAGTTCCACCGGAATCCGATAAAACGCTGGCGTTGACGGTAATTATATAAGCCATCGTAAGAAACGTAGCGGTACCAGCACGAAACTCTTTAGTGAAAGAGCTTTTTCGAGATTCCAATTTGAAGTATTTGCCGATTCTGCTCTTTGAAATTGCTTCATTTACTTTCATCTCCATTTTGTTCAGAGATTTTGCCATTTTAGTGAAAGAACCAGCTGCACAGAGCTTTTCCTCCATGTTTTTTAGTTTTATCTTTTTCTCTGTTTTGTTGCTTTGAAGGTAAACAGGGGATTGGAATAAATTTATAAGATGATGAAAAAACTGAAAAGAGGTAAAAGAATTTAATGCAGTGTGGAATTGTAGTAATCTGAAGAATGAATCAGTGTGGGTCTTTTATAGTAATAATATGATTATTATTATTATTATAAAATTACACTATAATATAAGTATGAGTACGACGCATGTATATTTGTTTGATGTTATATCAGATTAATTGCTACATTTAAAATCAGAGAACATAAATGTTAAATGAGATCAACTTAAATGATATATTTATATATTATGTCATTATAAAAGGGGGAAAAGAGTTTGATATACTCCTTAACTTTATCATTTTTAGAATTGATATACCTCCGTTTTGAAAGTGGCACAAATATATCATTATTGTTACATAAATGACTCACACACCATTTTCTCTAACGGAAGTGAAAAAAATATTTTTAAATTAATTTTTTATTAAAAAATAATCCATGTAGGGGTATATTCTTTTAAAGGAAAATTACACAGTTAAGCAAACATATATTAGTTAATTAGTCATCATAGCTATAGTTTTAGTTAATTATCACTCGCGACCAACATTAATGATAATTACGTGGACTGAGATTTCGAGTTTGTATAATTTGCACGTTTGTATAATTCAGAAATTTGTATAACTTTTGCATAATATAATTTTGTATAATATAATTTGTATAACTATTTAAAGTTTAGATGTTTGTGTTTGTATAAATTTGTTATTTCGAGTTCATACAAAAATAACTTAATTACATAAACGTATTTGTGAATTATACAAACTCACCCGCAAATTATACAAACGAGACAGCTTAAATTGTAGATATAGCTCGTAAATATACAAACTATAGTTATAGAGCATAATTAAGTTTATTATAGTAGCTATTTGCGAAAAATTCTCCATTTTTTCCTTCTCACAAGGTTTTTTTTTTTACTTTTTAATTCAACGGCTAATTTGAATTTATTACTTTGATGGTCAAATTTATTCTTTTCTCTTATTTTCTTATAAAATTTATTATAGATGTTATAGCCACAAAAAATAGTTTTAAATTTTTTCTCCTATTTTCCATTCACTCTTCTTTCTTTTTGTTTCTCTTATTTTACACTTAAGAATAATAGAAAAAATGAAATAAGAATAAGAAACTCAAAAAATAATTTATTTGTGAAAAAGACCAAATATATGATTCTTTTTTAAATATTAAAAAAAAATTAATTTTATCACTTTTGTAATGGTGGGTATATGTGAGACACTTTTGGAATAGTAAGGGGTATATATGAGCCAATTTAATGACGATAAGATATATGTGAGCCACTTTTATAACGAAGGTATATCAAACTCATTTCCCTTGTAAAAATTAACAATTTGAAATGCACAATCTTTTTTCTCTTTAATTCTCTAAATTCCAATTATTATATATAAATTGAGAGAGAGAGAGTAGTTGTTATGTGGTCATTATAGAACAAAAAGTAATAAAACTCATGCCTTTTAAGGAAGCTGGGTTGTTTTTAGTGGGTTAGTATGATTGTTATGGTACTAACCCCCACCCCACCAGACACGCACCAGTTTTTTATTCAACGCATATACATCGACAGAGGTGAATGTAATGGTGGGACACGTGAAATTGAGTTTATTTGAATTCAGTATTTTTTATATAAAGTTGTGAAACTTAAATTATATATTAAACTCAACTAAAATTCAAGAAATTTATAGTGGGTTTGTATTTATAATTTTAAAAATACAACGGATTCAATAATAAGCGTCTTAAAGGTTTGAATAATATTCATAAAAATTAAATACTATATGTGTCTCTATAATATGAAAATGTAATGGGATTTTACAATATAAAACTAGAGTCTTGTTGACTTGACTGTTGTCTTGGTAGTTTACAAGATTCTTATGGAGAAATTGCTAGTAATTATAGAATCTGACACAATATGAGTTCAAACCCAAGAAAGATCTTTGACTAGCTAGTTGGATAATTATCACAATTAATTTTACATAATGAGAAAGGTATAATGATTTGATTCCCTATATATGTGTGTGTCTTTAAAAACATTAATCCTTCGATTGGTAAATTGTAATTTTTATTTCATCGTATTGTACAAGTCTTGTGTGATTATATAACGGGAAAATCGTGTATGCATATGTTGTATACCTTAAAGGACGAATAAATAAATTTGATTAGGCACCCGATTACACAAAGTTGGTAATTTATAATATTTGTGATGAAAGTATTTAGATTGAACTTTACTTTCGTATATTTCTTTTAACGGCTATTTGGATTCGCTGCACATGAGCTGAAAGAGTTTCAGAAATAACTTCTTTGTCTTCACGAGATAGAGGTAAGATTTGTATATATTCTATCATTTGCAAACTTCACGTGTGGGGTTTAACATAATATAATATTGTTACTGTTGTTGTTGAATATTATTTATTTTGAAAAAGAATATAGAGAAAAAGGACAAATATACCCTCGAACTATCGTAAATGGTATGCAGATACCCTCCGTCATACTTTTGGGACATTGGTGCCCTTGCCATCAAAAAACTAGAGCATATATGTCCTTCACTCTAACGGAAGACTAAATAGGGACATGTGGCGCAATCTTATCCGTCGATCCAATATTTAATAAATGTCGGGTCGATGAATAAGATTATGACACATGTATGTCTGTTAGTATAAATGGTATATATGCTCTAGTTTTTGGACGGTAGGGGCACAAATATCCCAAAAATATGACGGAGGGTATCTGTATACCATTTACGATAGTTCTGGATATATTTATCCGTTTTCCCAAGAATATAATATGCTAGTATGATGAAACAAAGAATATTGATGAGATCATCATAGTTAGGCAAATGAGTTTGGTATCACATCATGAACTAATGGACTTTTATTGAGGCCAAAAAGGACAAACAAAATAGTCAAAATATATATAATGAACCAACTCATTATGAATTTATCAGGTTCATATTTGTCCACCAAACATGGTGTATGGCCTTTTGCTTCTAAACCAAACACACAATATGTTTACTTCATACTATGTCCCAGAAGATTTTTAATTCATAAGTATATTACATCAATCTTCATTCAAAGATTTCATTCCCTTCTAAATATTTATGGAAAATCTTTATCCAATCTCTGAACAATCTAAAATAATATCCACACATAATTAATACTCATTAATAATGAGAGTAGGTAGAAAGCATCAACTTCTTTTAATTTCTTTCCCAATGGTTAAAATGATATACTTTCAACATGACCTTTTGTTAAATAATAAATAAATTAGTTCTATGCTCTAAAAATATTTGGACAATCAAATCGCTCAAGGTAATTACAAATAATTACTTTTATGATAAGGGTAATGCTAAAATGGTAATTAACAGTCATGTCATAGAAGTTCACTTTTTTGGTACACTGAAAAATGTTAAACAGACAAATTAATTTTTTTCATACGCTAAAATCTGTCAAGAAAAAAAACTTCACATCCTTAACTGCATTGTCCTAAATCAGTGACTCTTCTGAATGTTTATACTTCTTCCGTCCCTTTTTAGTTATCATAATTTCTTTTTTTAATTATCATAATTTCTTTTTTGAGAGTCAAATCATACAAATTTTTACTAACATTTTAAGATGCATTTTTTCATCATATTGTTATGAAAAATATTGCAATTTATAATACTTTATATAAAGTTTTTGAATATCTAAAATTTTATTTTAAAATATTGAATTAATATAATTTTGTTTAGCCTTAAAAATTAGTCAAATTGGCTCACGAAAAGCACAGTATAACAACTAAAATGAAAAAAAGGAGTATTATAGGGGAACTTTCGCATATAGCTACTCAAGAATAGTTTAATTACGTTATATATCTATAGTTTGTTAATTACGATTCGTAGCTTCATGTTATAGGAAGGAGAGTGGCGAGCGAGATTGGGAGAGAGAGGAGAGAGGCAAGCGAGAGAGGGCAGAGATTGGGAGAGAGATGAATTGTATATGTATATCGGTTAGATAATTGTATAAATGTAACTTGTATACATATATATATTTGTATATCTGGCGAGCGAGATTGGGAGAGGGGGGAGAGAGGCGAGCGAGATTGGGAGAGGGAGGAGAGAGGAGAGTGAGAGAGGGAAATAATTTGTATAATTCACATGTTTATGTATAATTGAGTAATATAAAGTCTGAAATTATACAAATATGATAAAATTTGAAATAATGAATTGATACAAACACAAACATATGAACTTTAAACATTTATACAAATTATATTATACAAATTACATTATATAAATTATATTATACGAAATTCGAACACGTTTATACAAATTTTAAAAAGTTATACACAAAAAGATTGAATGTATATGATGATAAAACTGAAAACCCAACGGAAATCATTGTGATATACAAATACAAACCATCGTATACAAATACAAATCAAACGTGACTAATTATACAAATTTGAAGTCAGCCCACGTAATTAATGATTAATATTAGTCATAAGTGGTAATTATAGTAAATTATAATTATGATGACTAATTAAGTAGTATAAATTTACTTAACTGCGTAATTTCCCATTACTTTATTTATTGCTAGAAAATTTGGGATATAATCGGAACAACTATGTGAGCTTGAACATACCCTTCTTCAAAAGGAAAAGACAACGACATTGCATATAATTTGTCTCTATTACTTATTAATTAAGGACTTTCTTATAAGTGGAAATTGGAGTATTGGACGGTCATTTAATAGTAGTAAAAGATACTCATAAAGGAAGAAAAAAAGTGGCCTTTAAACAGCACTAGGAAAAGTAAACTGCTAAAAAAAATTAATTTATAATTGAAAAAAATAAATTTAACTCCATTAATTACTTCGTAAGGGCATTTCACTTGTTAATGATAAAGGTAAAAGAAATAAAGGTGTGAAATGACATCTAAAAGCTTTTAACTACTTGCATTCTTCCAAATTTGTCTTGACATCTAAAAGATTGGCTACGAAAAGACATGAACAAATTCTTGACTAGATAGATTTTGTGCTATAAA